CCCATTCCTTGTAAAACCCTAATCTCTCCTATTTAAAGGGGGCTTACTAATGGAATGAACACACCTCTCTCACTTCCCTACAACAATATTAACATTTTTTATATTGATCTTCCCAAAAAAAATTATTATATTGAGCCCTGCAGCCCAAACCCAACTCCCTTAACCTCGTACGGAGCAGTAGATGTGCGCTTGGGCCGTCTCAGCCCATCTCACCCAGACCATAACAGCCCAATTATCCAAGTGAAGCTGTGAAGGCCCTGCACTTTAGCGATTTAGCCCGAGCTAGCATCTCAGGCTCTCAGCGACAGGGAACGGAGCAAGTGGCGAGTGCTGCCGGCTGCGAGTGACCACGGAGGCACGGACGACGGGACGATTGGAAGAAGATGGATTTCCGTCGAGAATCACAGGGCTTCACAGCAGTTCGGCCCTTCTTCTGATCTCCGGCTTAATTTCCGGTGGCCGGTGCGACGGTGCTCCCATCTCTAGACTCCACGTAAGCCGCTTAATGCCTTAACCTAATTTTTTTCTGGTAATTTCATTTAAAATTGTTTATTTGTTGAATTTTATATTTTGATTGGGTGATGATGATGACAACCAACAATGTCAATCATCCCGCTTATAAAATATATGTCACCAACAATGAAATTGAGTTGTGGGATGATGACATTGTTTGTTCATTTAAAATTGTTTATTTGGAGTATAGTGATTTTATTTGAATTTTATAGTTTTGTTTATTTTTGTATTCGTGATGTATATGATTTCTTTGTTAAACCGGAATTGGTTGCTTTTGTCCCTCTTAATTTCATATTTGGTGAGGTAAGTGTGATTGAGAGCTTCCAAATGAGGACAAGTATAATACAAACTCCACATTTCCCCCCAACTTTTTCAGACGCTATTAAAAGGCTCGATTTTTTAAAGGAAAATAAAATCTGGTTATATAGATATGTTTAGACCCCTTGGTTTCTTTCTAGTGAATTGGTTGCTTGTCGGGACTCTGCATCGGTGGCGGCAAATAGAGTGCCGATTGGCAGTGATGGATAGGGTGCAAAGTGGCGACAATGATAGGGGAGGGGTTGGACTGGTGGGGGCAGGAACATGATGGTGGGGGCGGATGGGTCCTTGGGTAACTGGGCTGGTTGATGACTAGGAGTGGTTGGTAACTGGGTGTGGCTAGTAATCTGTGGTCACTGGGCGACGGGTCACTGAAAAGTTGGGATGGTGCACCGTTGTCACTTGGTGAGCTGACTAGGTCAATGGGTGGTGGTAAACGGGCGGAGCGGTGACCACTGGAGTGGTCATTACGTTGAGTCAGGTCACTAGAGTAATTTAGTAAGTTTAAAACTTATTACACATTTTTTGAAATAACAAAAGTATCTTTTGTCCATTATCTACTTTTTACTAATATTTGTATAAAAAAAATTAATTCCAATAACCATTTCCATGAAAAGATGTCAATCTCACTATTTAGCCCAATCTGTTTTTTTTTTGTTAACGTCTGATTTTGACAGGCATACAATAAGACTTGCATTGCCATGATGCCAACCATGGAGGTCGAAGAAGCAGAAACAAAAATCTTAGCCAACAGAGAAGATGGAGTTTCCGAGAAAGATTCAAAAGTTTTACAATTTCTCGATTCATTGGATAGCTATCTCATTCTTATGGACACTTTATCTTCAACACTTCGCCAGGTTCCGATTTTTCTTCCAATTCATTTTCATTTTTTACATTTTTAGACTTAGATTCATTTGATTTGGATGCATAACAATCTTGCGTGTGTGAGTGTAATTATATAACCATCTAGCGTATTTTTATTTCTGAACTTGTAGTTTATATGAAATAAAGAGATTAAAGTAGGCGTAAAGGTGATGCTGCTATGAAGTGTAAATGAAATCACCTAAATCATGACCATATCTTCTTTCTTATTACGTGTTTGGATTGGATATATCATATATCCAATCATTGCAGGGTAATCTGGAGTTGTCAAGTGCTAGACTTTCTATGGGTGTGTCACGCATCAATAGCACATTGCTTGACCTCAAACCACATTCTGCCACAACTGTAGTGGATGTCATTCTTTCGGGAGGTTAAATACTCACTTTCCCTCGTGGAATATGCACTTAGAAATAACAAATTCATAGTTTAGGTTTAAGCAAAGGATCAACTAGTTATTGGTGATGTATTTTTTCATAGCAGGATCGAAAATGGACCACATGTTCTTCAAGCTGTGCAAGTGGGCTGATTCTTCTGGGCCAGAAAGTCCATCCAACGAAAGTAAATCCAACAAGGAAGGCTCATTGCACGGTAACATGTGCATTGTATTGATTACTTCCCTTTTTCAAAATGATTGTCCATCAAGGAAAAATGGGTGGGTTTTAAGGTGATATTTTTTGTCATAAATTGTCGGGCATGCCTGTATTTTATGTTGGTATTGAAAGTGACAAACCAAAACGAAAGAAATATGTAACACAAGTGTGTTCATGTTGACATGCTTTACATTTTCAATTAGCTAAAGGCCAGATGTCTGTGAACAGAATGCCTTTAGTTAATCGACAATTTTTTGAAAATGGGGAGTTACTAATTCTGTTAATTATTTAATTCCGTCTTAGTCACTAATTGCTTGAAGATAGTGTGTGAGATATTTATAAAGAGATAATCTCGATAATCTACTACAGATGCATCTTTTTGGTTTTAACATTCAAAAAGTAACTTTGTCTCCCCTACTCCAGAAGCTCAAGGGAAGAAACAGGAAGATAGCGGGTCTCCATGCACACTTGATGACAAGGTAAAACTACTTGTTCTAATTACCCCTCCTTCACTACTCATTAACTGCCTGTTCTATAATATGTGATGCAAGGCTCATTTAACTATTTCCAGTTTTAGGGAAAAAAATTGTCTGCTGAGCCTTACAAGTTTTCATTATCAAGGACAATGAACCGAATAGAACTAAGAACCAATTACCACAACTTATATATATTAAATCATTGAAGTAAAATTAGTGAACATGGGATCAGCCTTTAACTTTTATTGTGTGCTTTCTAGGCTAAGAGAGAAAGACTCAAATCACTGTCTATGTTTGGGATGCTGGTTTCTCCAAAGCTTCGAGCTGCCCAACTTTCATATGAGACAGGTGATATACCAAGTCCTCTACTTGAAAGTTCAAAGGGTTTCCCGGATAAGTATTGCTGCAATATGCCAATATGTGTTTTTTGTTTAATTTTGTATTGATCGATCTTCCTCGCTTCTTGATGTTCCACTTATTATTATTTTTAAACCTGTAACACAAAAAGATGGAGTAGTTCTCAACACCTCCTCTTGCTCAGCCTCCTCCTTTATCGCTAAATAAGACTAGGAATGCTAATTGTGGTGAAAATGTTTGAGTATCAACTATCAATCGCATCCTATGTATTTATTCCACTTACTTCCGTCATATCCATCATGTTCTTTTATACCTTTTTTATGCGGCTTCATCTCTTTTGTAGCTGTGGATACTATTGTAGAGATAGCAAACATGCGAATGTCACTGCTGCAGGCTTACAGTGAAGTGGCAGAAGAGATTCGAACCACTAGGAACAACTAGAGGTTCAATTCCTCTTATATATTCAAGATACTTTACAGTCAATTCTAATTCAGGTAATAAATTGTGGTACATGTTGTCCATCTTCCAGCTAAACATGAAAGACTAGAAGATTCTTCCCCCCACCCCATCCGTATAGAAAATATAAAACAATGACATCAACAAATTGGGTAGATACACATTTCTTATCTTTTATACTCCGTAATGTAGTTATACCCGATCTCTAATTAAAAGCCTATGAATTATTCATATTTGAACTGAATTCTTATTCTCCTAGCAGTGTTGTGATTGGTGCTTGGTGGTGCATTTATTCTCTATAAAGCTTGTTTGTGTGTGTTTGGCAGCACATATTTTGGATCTTATTGCTTATGCTAAGCTCCGAAAATGCAATCAGTCCTATTTGGTGTGTAGCATAGAACCTCAAAAGAAGCTCTTATTTTAATAGCTATATCTATAAGTTAAGCTCTCAGCTTTTTACTTTTTCTCAGTAATAATCATATTTTTGGACAAAAAACCTTTGTCCATTAGCTACAAGGAATATATTTTTATGTGTTTGTATATAAAGCAGCTAATCATCTGTTAGTATTACCTAACACTTCTGTGCCAATCACAGCTTTAAACTTTCCTGGCCATTGACAACTTTGAGTTTGTTTATGCAGCTTTTCAGTTTGGTGTCAAGTTGTATCATCACAGGATCAAGACACTTTTAACTGTGACCAATTCTTCAGTTTTGTCTGTTCTCCAACATTAAATTAGAGCATTTGAAGTTCCAAGGATTGGGAGGCTGTTGACACCTAATCTGCTTGGCTTCCCCCAAATCTGGCTGCAGGGCACAATTGAATTATTTAGACTCTCGTATGGCGTTGGGCGGAGACTGTCCATTGTACTTATAAGTTTTATTTAGTCGCAAGTCACATAAAAAAGCTTATGTAAGGGCCACTTGAAGAAATGCAATGCGTGACAAATTAATTTTAGTATGGATCCGTGCTTAAGTTTTTTGGCTTTAAGATTGGATGCTGTTTACTGCACATGGTTTACGAATTTACTTTTTAGTTTTGGTGTTCATTAAGTAGTTTTGCAGTCCTGTCTTAGGTGATTATCCCCCCCCCCCATAGATAACTAAAACTCCCTCTGCTCCTATTGATTTGTCGTCTAGATTGACCTTTGCCCTTGTTCCTTTTAATTAGTACATAATATTAACATATTTCAAATTTATCGTTCCCATACTATTTAATTCACCTCTTTTCTCAATAGCACATTAATGCGGTGTTTGCTAAATTATCATTGTCATTGCAATGCATTTTTTTTTTATCAATCTTCACAGATAAATAGAATTTGATGGAGTACAATGCTAAGATTTTGGTTTGGTTTATTTCTATGCATGGAGCACAATAATCAGCTTTTGACATTACTTATTTGGGTTAAAGGATATTTACAATCAATTTCGTGTTCAGAAAAAGTCAGTATATTCAGACATTTCAGGCAAATAAATAACTTACAAAATACTCCGTAATATTCTATGTTATAGAATGTAATCATCAAAAGATAGAAGTATGATGATTATATGTGGTCAAAAGTATAATGTTAACATGGGAAGAGCAAAAAAGAGGACTCTACCTGAATCTTTCTGTTTACAAAAGAAATCCTATTTAGTTTGTTATAGCACCAAACCAATTGCTCTCTAGTTAGCCTACACATATTAAGAACCCTAGATACTAATTTCATGTCCACTTGTGAGAAAAAGCAAAGAACATGGTCTGAATCATCATCGTCTTCGTCATCTCTGCAAGTTCTGAATCTCTTCAGTATGCATTTTTCACTTTTCATGCAGTCCTTGAGCTTCCTCTCCTTCTGCAATTCAAGCCGGGAGAAACATAAGCCAACTTGCTGAATAAACTAATGAAAACAGATTCAAGAATGTATGGTACCTTTTGCAGATTTCTTCTGACTTCCATTAACAGATCATGATCTTCTGCATTCTCAATCTCGGGGTGACACTTCCCATGTACGATGGAAGAGTCATTATCAGCTTTTACAAACCGCCAAAAGATTCGTATGCACTCTTCCACAATCTCCACTAGATCATCACTTGTAATTACAAAGTCACCCTTTTCAAACTTTCCCCCCTTCTTCATCTCCTTCAAATTGTCTTCTGCACGGAAGAAGCCCAACAAAAAAAATCTTCAACGTGGTATCACTATATTTGAGCTTCAATCTCAGGGGAGTCCAATTGCAATTAACTAACCGGTCAGTCAAAATGTTTTCAGTTGTCCACTTCAGGAAGTGTTAAAAGTCCCCCACCAAAGAATTAAAGAAAAACAGACTCACTCTATCCCAAACTACTCTTCATTCTTTCATATTCGTCTATCCCAAATTTATCTTCACTTTCTTTTAAAGGAAATGATTCTTTAGATGATATTGTTTGTTTCAACTCTAAGCAAATTAACCACACAATTCCCACCTTTAAAACAACTGCCAAGTCTAAGTAAAACAAAGGCATGGGTTGTGCTAGTCTAATCACGAATCCTATCCCTTATTACCTCGTATAACAGGAACTTGCAAAAAATTTCGGAAGTCACATCTGCTCTTGATATAACATTGGACTCTCCGCCCGTGAAATCGTTCATCCTCTATGTACCTTTGCAAGAGCACCTGGAACTGTTGAAACTCTTCAGCAGCCTCGTTATACTGGTGGGATCCAGATAGGTCAGTTTCCCACAAGTCAATGATCTTCCCATATTGCCAGTGTAGGAACTCCCAGGAAAGACACATCTGCCCAACATATACCACTTCCAGTTCACACTGCAAATCCTTTACAAACTTCAGCACTGGATCATCAATGTTACTGTTTTTTTGTTTGAATGGCCAGATACTCTTCAAGAGTGGTGGCGGGGTTGAATATTTGTGGGTTGAAAGCAATTGAAATGGATCTTTTAAAGGCTCTTTCTGCAGAAAACCTGTATGTGAATGGCGCTAGAGTTAGTCATGATTGACTATTATCAACAATAATAAATAAAAAAGATTGATTAACTGCGTAATATGGGTATGGGTAGGGGCTGTTAGAACCGTAATTGGGATAATGGGATAATTTCCGAAGTTATGGTGTATCTGTATAAGTACTACAGAAAAATGTTTTTCAAGGCTTAAAATGCTTGTTGTTAAAACCATCGATACATTTCTAACTTATAGAAGCACTAAAAGTATTTTTCAAATGCTAAAAACTTTTATCCTACTTTTACAGCCATGTTCTTGGTGAATGCATCTTTTTTTTATAGGTAAGGCCTTAAAAGTACTATTCTTGCTCTAATGAACACGTACGTATTCATTATAATCCAACATGCACTCTTACGAAGAAGACCAATACCAATTTTAGAATCGTTTTCCCTCTTTTTCTGCCATTTTCTTGGCAAATGATTTTACAATTAAAAACACTATCTTTACTCTAAAACACCTTTTCTTTGTTGAAAAGGAGTCATCAGAACGCATCAAAAGAATGAAGTGGAATACCTAATGTAAATAGCTTTTGGTTTGTGAAGATATCAAATTTGCGCATTCTCTCTTTGTAGATTTTGTAGAACTTCATCAGTTCATCTAATATGCTTTCTTCGCGTTGTATTCTGTCATTGATCTTCCATGGTTTAAGTTCATCCATTTTGGGAGATGCTGAATCTTCATAGATGGTTGGCAACCTTGTGCCTCTCATCTTTTTAAGTTCCATCTTTAACTGTTCAAGCAAATCTTCATGTTCCCATGACTCCAATTCAGATTCTTCGTCTTCTTCAAAATCATTCTCAGATAAAAACCCGGATTCCAAATTTAGGATTCCACTATTTCCTTGTTTGACCCCTTTAAAAGCATCTTCCTCCAATAGAGCACTATCATCAAGCTCAATGTCTCCTCCAAAATCTTCATCAGACCAGAAGAAGCTTCCTTCATTGTGTAAATCTTTCTCATCTGCATCATCAGTACAACAACTCTTCTCTTCTATGGATTTCTTTTCCTCAGGTTGAATCAGAATCTCACTAGAAAAATCAAGATCATCACTACACAATTGGTCCTCTGTATTAACAAATTCTTCAGTTTTCTCTTCTATCCACACACCACTGTCAGCAATCTCAACTTTGCTCTTATTAGAAACAGTTTCTCCTTGAAACTGATTTTCATCCAACACCCTGTTTATGGAGATCTTTTCCCGAAATTGAATCAGAATCTCACTGGAAAAATCAAGATCATCACTACACAATTGGTCCTCTGGTTTTACAAATTCTTCAGTTTTCTCTTCTTTCCACACACCACTGTAAAAAATGTCAACTTTGCTCTTATTAGAAACACTTTCTGCTTGAAACTGATTTTCATCCAACACCCTGTTTAAGGATTTCTTCTCCTCAAATTGAATCAGAATCTCACTGGAAAAATCAAGATCATCACTACACGATTGGTCCTCTGGTTTAACAAATTCTTCAGTTTTCTCTTCTTTCCAAACACCACTGTCATAAATCTCAACTTTGCTCTTATTAGAAACAGTTTCTCCTTGAAAATGATTTTCCTCCAACACCCTGTTTAATGAAACAGTGTCTTCATCTCCATCTAAGCACACGCCCTTAGAATCAATATCTAATTGTTCAGTAATTGGACCTGTAGAACCCTTATCAAACTCTTGGTTCTTAGAATCAACACCAGTCTCTTTCTTGCCATTAATAAATTCCTGGTAGGTGGGAAATCTGAAAGTGAAACCATAATCAGTGTTTTCCTTCTCGTCATTTATTTCTTCTTCAGATATCCGCACTGAATCCGTCTCCGTTTCATAGCCGCCAAGAAGAACAGACTCAGTCGGGGTTTCTGAGAACCCCAAGCTTTTCTCCGAAGAATAAGAAACACCCTTCCGCAGCCTACATAACCAAAACATAAAAAGATCAAACTTTTACCAAAAAAACTGGAATTCGGAATATTAAAGAAACAAAACTGGAGTTGATTTGAGTATACCTGGAAAGGAACGAAGCGACGAGGACTAACAGAGGTTGCAAATACGATGAAACAGTGACCCATACCCGATAAACCGCGTCCATGTTCAGATAAGGTTGTCAAAGGGAGGAAAAAGAATGAGCAGTTCGGGTGGGCTGCCCATGGATTTCAACCCGCCCTCTGAAACTTTGGTACAGCGTAAAACAACAACAGAGGAAGATAAGTTCATGGAAAACGCATGGCCAGTTTGAATGCGTCAAAAGTCAACAAAAAGGACAATCTATCTGAACAAATTTGCAGACCAAAGGGGAAAAACGAGATCTTTTTTTATTAAAAAAGAAAAGAACAGAAAAGAGTGGCGCAAAAAACTGACAGGATTTGCAGAGAGTTGAGAGTGGGGGAAAGAAGAAACCGACCTGTGTGGGAATTTGCAGAGGGTGGGGGTGGGGGTAGGGGGAGGTTGTTGAAGAACAGATGACAGATGACCGTACCAGGAACTTGGAATGGCCGTATCTATAGAAGAGTCAATCAACAGAAACGAAGTGATGTGAGTGATGAAGACGAAGAGAGCTTCTTCAGGTACACACATCTTTGACCTCGAGTCAGGGCTGGCCGCGTGGGCAAGCTCTAATGGCAGTAATGGGCTCATTAAGAATGGTTTAATGGTACACATTTATTCTTAGATTAGACTTTTTTTTAATGCACATTTATTCTTAGACTGAAAATACAAACCATCTACTCCGTATTTGCTTTGTTAATACTTCGTACTAAGTAATTAATTGCAATACTTCACTTTTCACCCATCTTAGAATATTAGAGTATCCCTTTGAAAAGAACATTTTCAAAACTAATTCTTGAAGATAATTGCGCATTTTTGCGTTCTCCAATTAATTTGAATGCGCTCCCGATTAAATTTTTATCTGAAATTTGGTATGAGTAAACTAGGCTTGATGAATAAGATGCTCAAAAAATTTCATCAAAAAATTCCACCGGGAACCGCCCCAAATCGCGACGACCGGACAAAATCTCCTATAGAAGGACTTAATTGACTTTTTTATGAAAGTTCGAGGACCTATTTGACTGTTTTCTCTACAAAATATTTATAAAGAATGTTATTATAAGTTACTATGAGTAAATTTTAGAGTTACGAAAGTTATCGAGGTCACATTTTTATCCACTACTTTTATTTGGTTATATGTTTGGAATTATTTCACATTATATTCATAGTAGTTTTAGTCATTTTTATAAAGAAGTTTTAATTCAATAATGTTTTGACAAAAATCATTCCTTTTTAGATGTATTTTATTATTCACCTAATTTTAATTTCTATTAGAGCTAATTTTTTATTTCAGTCATACGAGTCAATCTTATTAATCGTTCAGAACTTTTAAAATTCTATTTCGAGCTGAATGAGGTGAATTTTATGAGAAATGGTGTTTTCACTTATTCATATATATGGTTTTCTTAATGTTATTGATCAAATGCTCCGTATAATATAAATATAATTCTTTCTAAATAAATATTACTACATAATATTAAGCTGCAAGTTAATGGTATTATATCATTTCATTACATAATACTAGCAATAGATTATAGCAAATATTACGATTTGTGATTCAATTTTACGATTCGATTTTCAAAAACATCTGCCGATTCAATTCAAAAATACGATTTTAAGTACTCCACGGTCCAATATAGGGGTGGGCAAAAATACCGAACCGGCATGGTACCGAACCAGACCGGTATGGTACCGGACCGATAAACGGGGTTTGAAACGGGTCTCAAATTTTTTTGTCCCGAATCGGACCGTACCGATTCCAAACAATGTCATGACGGGTTCTCATAAAATGAGAACCGGTACCGGACCGAACCGGACCGAAGTATGCTTAAATTATTTAAATTTGTACTATTAATTATAGTTTATCTAAAATTTATTAATTACCTCACACGTTCTAAATTGATTTGCAAAGTTAACATGTTTGGTCAATGTTAATGTCAAGTCCTCCCAATAATAATTAATAATCCGTACAATTTTTAGTAATTAAAATACCACATATTTAGAAATCACATTAAAATATATTTAAAGTTGCAAAATCCAAATTAGTATATAGGAAGTACTTTTTTCTGAAATGCCAAATTAGAATATAATTAAAAAGTGATATCGTAATTAAATGAACAAAAAGAAACTGTTTGATTAAAAAGATTGACTTTGCAAATCATTTTGGAACGGGGGTAGTATGAAATATGAAAATTGTTAAATTGTGTGGATTTTTGGAGGATGCCTAAACTTTAATTTTTCCTTGAACACTTGGAAAAGGTGGCATTATTTGGCATTGGTATGGCATGGTACCGTTCTGTTTGAAAATGGACCGTACCGAACGGGTTTAGGTCTAAGACCGAACCGAATCGAACCGTTTCAATAGTAACGGTACGGGTACGGGTTCAGACAAATATTGGACCGGACCGGACCGTGCCCACCCCTAGTCCAATAAAGTGACAAATCAATTTGGGGTTATTTGTGGCATCTTTTCCGTCTTACCTATTCCGCGTTGATTTTCTTCTGCTTTGGGAAAACGCAGATTCCTTCATAAAAGATAATTTCGCAGATAGTATGCATTTGACTTTTTCTATTTTGAAAAATAAACATGAACAATGTTCTTTTCCCTATTAAAAGATTGTCAACATAACCTCATTTTTACCTATTAAGAGTCCGGTTGATGATCATATTTTATGGCATATTAGATTTATCAGTCAATTTGTCACCAAATGTATAATTTTTTATTGTACATTGAATGGTGTAGTAATAAAAAAAAACAAAGTTGAAGTTACGTATCTGACTATATTGACTGAAGTTATTGTATAGTAAAATTTTAGCAATTTTTCATATAATTTTTCTTTATTTTATTAACAATTTTTTTATCTTCATAAATCAGCAAGATCAGTCAACTCAGCCACTTCAATTAGAAGTTCATAAATTTCATCAAAATCAGACTCAGCCGATTTTGATTTACCAAACGGGATCTAAAATATGGTAATCAATTTTTTCAGAAGTACTATTCTTATACTCCCTCCGGTTTTATTTAATCTTCACACTTTGACTTCACACAAAATAAGGAAATAAATTTGACTTTACTGTAGAGTACACTGTTGAGGCACTGTTTGACACTGTTTGGCACTGTAGAGACACTGTTTGGCACTGGTGAGACACTGTTTGACACTGTTTTGATGTAGATTTCTTTGCCAAAAAAGGAAATAAGGAAGTGTGAAGTTTATTTTAGACCGTCCCAAAAAAGAAAGTGTGAAGTTTATTAAAAACCGGAGGGAGTACGTATTATTACATTTTATACAGAAATATAGCAAATCAAACATTTCTAACTTCATTCATATGACACAAACATTACATCTATAAAATAACTAAAAACTATTACCATTTGAATGGTTTTATACCATAGTTTTAAGCAATTTTTTTAATCGTGTAATTAATATTAACATCTGATGAAAGATCCTTAGATGTCAACATTACAAAAATATATAATTAGATATAGTTCTTGTAAAAATTTAAGCACAAATAATTTGCTATAACATGACATCTAATTATTGTGTTGAACAATGAGTGTCATGTACTCATGTTCACACTCCTTTGCTGAGCGAGAACAAAATAGTTTGCACAATAAACGGTCTTAGAAGTTCTAAAATTAAACTACATTAATTAATAATCATTTCAATACTCCGTATTAATACATTGTAATAAAATACGGATTACATATTGGGGTGCTTGGTAAACGGCGTTTTAACCGAAAAATGACGGTTTGACCATTTTAGCGTTTTCAATAAGTGAAGAGATTGTTTGGTAAATAGCTATTTGGCACCAGCACTTTTGGACGGAAACGCTGAAATGCAAACACTAATAATGGGAGTGTTTTGGGTCGTTGGCGTTTTACAAAATGGTGTTTTCTACTAATTTTATGGCCAAACAGCTAAATTACCAAACATCTTCTGACAAATCGTCAATTTTATTCCGCTAGTCAAACCCATTGATCGGATTCGCTATTGATAATCCTCTAACATAATTTGCTATCTGCTAACTGCCGAATGCCACAAGTTTGGTTTTATAATATTATTAAGTAATTCGTATTGCGTAATTAATATGGAGTATAAAAAAAATAAAAAATGTTCTGTATACCCACTCTTATATCCACTTTTGTACCCACCTATATTTGTGAAAGTTTTTTTTGTCCATGAATCTAGCGTTTGGGGTTCAAAGACAAAAAATAACCTTACAAACATGGTGGGTATAAAAGTGGACACATCAAACATTGTTGTAAAAAAATCCCGGATCCGCTCCCGGACTCTAAAGTCATGTTATAACTTATACGGGAGTATGTTATTAGCTAAGTCAATTACTCTACCAAACATTTATAAACATGTAACAGAAATACAGAGTACTACTTAAACCAATTAATATAGGTCGACAGCTTTTCCATATTGCTTGCGTGAGAAATAATGTGGTCACAAATTCAAAGGTGAACCACTAAAGCTATTAACAGTTTATACTCTTCTTAGTGTAGCATGAGCAAACCTACTTTCATTTTTATTTTTCTAAAATTTATTTCAAAATATTTAACATGTTTAACTTCTACATCATTTTTGGTGGGGAAAAATAATAAGATACCCTAAAGTGGGTGTGAGATAAACACCTCAAACTTGCATATGTAATTTCAATCTATATAAAATGTTATTTTTGCACATTGTCATTTAATTTATTATTTCTTTCAAAAATTTAAATTTATGGGGTTAATTGCATAATTTAAAATAGAAAATTAAAAGTGTTGCAATTATATAGATTGGGGGTAACATTATTTATTTCGCAATGGAAGTTTAGATTGTTGATTATTTACATTTTAGAAAGAAATAATGCATGAAATGGTACGAAAATAACTTTTTATATAAAGTTTAGGGTATGTATTGAAATTACATATACAAGTTTGGAATGTTTATCTCACACCCCATCAAAGTTTGGGGTATTTTTATTATTTTCCCTTTTTTGGTAATGTAAAACTTTCACATTGATAGTTGAATTTGAATATATCTTAGGAAAAATTGATAGTAATAATCCCAACTATTGGTGGTCCGCCAATAATAATCCTAATTATCGATTATTTCAGAATAATCCCAACTTTAGGGACCTTCCGCCAATAATGGTCTCTATAAATAAATTCTTGTAGTTTCTAAAGTGGATGAGAAGAGATATAGCAAGTAATCCCTATAAATAATCGCAACTTTTAATCTTACGCTTAATTTCTATTTAAAATTCACTTTTTATAGTAGGTAATATCTGCCATTATCTGGTCATGGACCATTATTGGCGGACGGTTAATATAGTTGGGATTATACAAAAATAATCAATAGTTGGGATTATTATCAGCAGACCAGCAATAGTTGAGATTATTATTTTCAATTTTTCCTATATCTTATAGTGCAATTTCTAAATATTTATTCTGGCCCAGGATAATATTTTCGATTTAACTTGACACATTAGCTCATTAAAAAGTGAGAATAAAATGAAAAATGTATAATTGTAATGAAGTTAGAAAAAAGTAAATAAATGTAAGTCACATA